ACAAAAAAGCGACAAATCTCACAAATATTCATTTGTTAATCTGTTAATTCTAAGTTTCGAGTAATATTCAGAAATCTACAGACACTTTTTCGAGGATTCAAATGAATTTACAAAAAAAAATGAAATCTGAAATAACCGCATGATAAATATTCAATTTTCTTTTTGAAATTTACTCTTGCTATTAAACTAATCACATTCAAGCTTACACTTTCTTAATTAATAGTCACTAAAACACATGATTTCAACCCCTGCATAATATTAATATAACACATAGTGTTACCTCAACAATTAACTTTAAATTGTATATTAAATACAGTTGAAAAGTGTTAAAATTTTAATGTTTAAAGTTTGGCAGTTAATTTGAAGAAAACCACAAATGTCACAAATAAGCTTAAACTCTTATTTTAATCCTTATTCTTTTATCTTTAATTCAAATGCCTTATTACTAATCTACCTTTACTAATTAATGAGTAATATACAAAAATCTAAAGATACTTCATTTTTGAAAACTTTGATAGAAAATTACAAAAAAGCGACAAATCACAAATATTCATTTGTTAATCTGCTAATTCTAAGTTTCGAGTAATATTCAGAAATCTACAGACACTTTTTCGAGGATTTAAATGAATTTACAAAAAAAAAAAAAATCTGAAATAACCGCATGATAAATATTCAATTTTCTTTTTGAAATTTACTCTTGCTATTAAACTAATCACATTCAAGCTTACACTTTGTTAATTAATAGTCACTAAAACACCTGATTTCAACCCCTGCATAATATTAATATAACACATAGTGTTACCTCAACAATTAACTTTAAATTGTATATTAAATACAGTTGAAAAGTGTTAAAATTTTATTGTTTAAAGTTTGACAGTTAATTTGAAGAAAACCACGAATGTCACAAATAAGCTTAAACTCTTATTTTAATCCTTATTCTTTTATCTATAATTCAAATGCCTAATTACTAATCTACCTTTACTAATTTATGAGTAATATACAAAAATCTAAAGATACTTCATTTTGGAAGCTTAAAATTTCATTGATTTAACTTTGATATTAAATTACAAAAAAGCGACAAATCTCACAAATATTCATTTGTTAATCTGCTAATCCTAAGTTTCGAGTAATATTCAAAAATCTACAGACACTTTTTCGAGGATTTAAATGAATTTACAAAAAAAATAAACTTTAAATAACCGTATGATAAATATTCAATTTTCTTTTTGAAATAAAGCTCGAAAATAATAATGATAATAATAAAAGATTATATATTCTAATAAGACGATAATCCTTACGCTTTATAAATCTTACAAAATCGATATTCAATTTACGCGGCATAAAAATAATCTCATTAGAGCGAGTTTTATGGGTGTTTTCAACAGTAAATAATCGGATCTATAAAATATATCAAACGTATTTTTCGTATAACCGTATTACAAATAATAGAAGAAAAAAGATATTTCCACACGGTTAGAAAACTTTGAAATTGCATTAGCAATAATTGGAGATGATGAAGAGAAAGCAACTGAAAAAATTATGAATATAAAAATATTTTCATTTGGATATTAGATACAGGGATGAAATGATACAGGGAGAATGAAAAAAAAAACTGAGACACAGAACTTGATTACTTCAACCTAATTCAAGTTATCTCCGGTTTCCAGCCGGCTGCCTTTTAAAATTAAAATAATAATAAAATTTAGTGCAATGGGAAACTAAGATGCAGCGGCGCCTTTTTAAGCGGTCCTCTCGACAAAAGGCGCGCTTCCACCGCCGCCGCCGCCGTGCTCACAACGAGATAAAGTTAAATTTTTATTACTCCGAAATGTCATTATCTACATAATTCCGTTTCCGGTCTCCTCCTTCTTATTACATCTCTCTCTTTCTTTCTCCTCCACATTCAACTTCTTCCATCCTGCTTATATCTTCTTTCTCCCGGTTATTCCCTCCACTCCGCGCCAAACAAATAACTCAAAAACACAATTTACTTTTACATCATTTCCATCTAAACTGCATTTTCTTCTATCCGATGCCTCCGCCTTCCTTGTATTCTTTTTTTTTTTTGCACCACCGCCGCCCCCTCACACACTTAATCCACTTGCAGAAATAATAATATAGTGCCGCCGTTTTATCGTTCTCCTCGCCGCCGGTGAAATAATGCATTTCACTCGGAATGTAATTCAAATTGCTTTTAATTTTATCGCGCGCGAAAAGGCCAATTCCACACACACAACCTCCCTGGAGCGGTGAAAAAATTATATATATATATATATATATATATATGATATTATTAGCCCCATGCGATACCGCAATAATTTTCCTGCTAAATTACCCGCGGCTTTTATTTTCGAATTAAACTCACCCCCAAAGGTGTTCTTAGTTTCAATCATTCCCTTTAAGAATTACAAAAGCCAACGACTTCCATTGACATTTACTAAATGATAAGACTGTGACACATCCAAACCTTAATTAACAAATAATTTTATAGTTTATATTCATTGTTAATGTAGAATCAAACCCTAATTGAGAGCTGCAAGTTTTTAATGTTTTTTTCAGTTTTTCACAAAACCAACAAATAACAAACACACACACAAAAAAAAATCTTATCGGAAATTTATTCAGGCTATCGACGATTTAGTTGAATTGGAGCCTTTTTCGAGGGTTGGGTTGTGTTTGGGGTAGGTTTGTGTTTTTGTGTGTGCAGTTGGGCTTATCAGCTGTAGCCGAGTCCCAGCGAAAATTTAGTGTTGCGATTGTTGTAGTACGTGTGGCAGTGAATCGAATTAATTCGTAATAAATTGTCAATGTATATATGTGTATATACATATATTTTTTTGGGTACTTATTTTTGTGGATTTCGAAGCCCATTTATTGATTAAATCCGGGGCGCGTAAGTGCACAACAGTTCTATTTCAGCAGCGTCACCGTAAACTTGGATGAAATAGAATCCTGCTAAGCATTTCAGATTCCAGGCCGGATTCGGAATGAAATGGAAGCGCGAAAAGGAGTCTTTTCTCTTTTCCTTCAGTTTTGCTTGAGGATGCTCCACCGGTGTGTGTGTATGCCTCATGAGCAGAACTTCGGTATGTGCATGTGTTATTTGACGAGGGGATTCCCCTATTTGCAAACTATTGATATTTACATTTTCAGCGTATAACGTACACAACAATAGTTAGTAATAAACAGCCCCGGAGGGCTTGCATAATAGTTTGGGATGTTTGTTGGCAAACACAATTAGCGCTGGAAAATATTTATATTGAAAGCCAACCGCTAATCTTTAATTCCTGCCAATACAAACTATGAAATGATTAAGAGAAATTATACAATCGATAATTTCTCTTGGCAAATTTAATTTTTTATCAATCAACTCGAAACTTCGGAAATGCAGTAGTAATAATTAAAGCAATTGATAAATTAAATAATCCTCGTTCCATTGTGTACGTATTAAGCATATATTTTATGAACGAGCCGGAATTGTTAAAACAATATTTGGAAATCTCACGTGGAAAATCGAGGTGGATTTACGTTTGACTTGTGCGCGCCGCAGCCGCAGAGTTTCGAGGGTTGGTTTTGGAATTATAAATTGGGGTTAAATTAAAAGCCCTTTTCCACCGAAAGCGCCTTTGTTTGCGCGCACCCCCACCCGTCGGTTCAGGTGAGACCCGTTGTTTCGGCGTGATCAAGACGCGAACAAGAAGGATGGATGATGATGATGATGGGGTGTTTTCGGATTCAAAAGAAACCTTTTGATATTCCCCTGAGGCTTTGTACGCGCCGTGGGTGGTGGTGGTGGAGTTGTAGGAATGATTCCGCTTTTAATTAGTCGCGCGATGTTCGTGTGACAACGTTTTCAATTTGTTTCCCTTTCTTTCTTCGAGGTTAGGTGGTTAATGATGACGGCAGGCGAGAACTTCAAGAGGATCGTGGGTGGTGGCTTCATTCAGACGGCGCACACAGGGTTTATTTATTTATTCCGGATTTGCTTTTTGCTCTTCGCTTATCCTACCTACCCCAGTTTCTTTTTTTTTATCTTTTTCATCTTTCACACCCTTCTCATCTTTTCATGTCTCACCCTTTATCTTCACCTATTTATCGATTCGAA